CCCAACACCGAGCACTTTTTTTAAGCTAAAAATATAAACGAGCCGAACACGAGCGAGCCATGCTGCATGGCTGGCTCGTGTTCGTCTCGTTTACACCCCTAGTCTAGAGGCTGTCAATGTACCAATGCACTCAGATGGATAACTCATTTGATTAATTTTCGGTAAATTTGTTAAAAAAAAAGTAAATAAAAAAGTTTGAACATTTTTTAACAATTTAAATAAATAAATTTAAATATGATTTAATTTGTTTATTTATGTTTACTGATAAACTCATTTATTATTTAATAAATTTTATTTAAATGTTGAATTTAAATTTGATAAAAACTAAAATCATAGTTATGAATAATATTTTTGATATAATTATTAATTATATAAGAATATATAATTTAATGCCAATATGCATATTCAATGTAATATATCTTTATTTATTTATTTCAATAAACTAATTTATTAATATTTGTTTATGAAATTTAATTGTAAGAAAATCTTAATTAAAATTTACATATTTTCTTGTTTAATTGGTGTAAAATAGTTGGATGCTAATCCAAATTTTATTCAAAAACTTATTCATTTATATTTATAAAATTATTTGTTTATTAAATTTATATAAAAAAAAGGTAACATTTTTTTTAATTTATTTAGCAATTTATTGTAATGCATGTTCAATTAATATAAATAAACTAAGTACAACTGTTATAAATCAAGCTAAATGCGAACAGACATATAGAAGAACTTGAGACCGAGTCGAAGATGAACAACTTATAATTTGGTCATACTCTTCGGCTCGAGTACAACTTTAGCCAAACCTCCTCCAAGGTTATGAACGGCTAGAATCACTTTTTGGAAGATTTACGTATTTACCATTCAATTACTTTGTATTTACATATCTACCACATGCATAAAAAGGTGTATTTCCCTTTTAAAATTTAATATAGCGATATTTCTTTTTATGAGAGATGAAAGATCTGGGAGCTATAAATGCAATAATTAAAGGTTAGTTGTTTGATATGTAAATACATAAGAATATGGTGGCTTCCACGTAAATGCCTTTGTATTATCATTATTACTATTTTCAAATCTAAAGTAAGAAATTACAAAGATTTTAAGTTTGGATAATATCATGTAATATTTAGGTAGGGTACAAATTAGGGATATGACTAGAAATAATCAAATCAACTCGAGTGAACTAAAAACTAATCATATCGACTTTCAATTGAGTTGAAGACAATAGTCTGTTAAGATTTAGGTGTTTCTCGTGCCATTTTGGATTTGAGTTTGGGCAAAGATTTAGAGTAAGGGGGTGTTTGACTGCAAAGAGGATTTAGGGTCTGATTGGAGCAGCTGTAGCTTATTGAATAATTTGCTAATAAGCTAATTAAAAATAATCTGCTGATAAACTGGGTGCGGTGGCTATTACAAATTTTTATTTTTTTGGAAAAGCCAGACTGTTGCCAATAAGCTGCCATCGCACCTAGATAGGTGCGATTTGAAAACTCTGTTTTCTGCGTTTTGAAAACATATATAAGCTGCCAAAACACAGTTTACCCAAACATGTCAGGTGCATTTTCAAAACGTCACCGCACCAAATAAGCTGCCTAAACGGGCCCTTAAGTTACATAAGAAAATTCAGTGAACCCTAATTTATTAAATCTAAATATCATTAAATCTAAAATAATATTTGGTTCAATTAAGATTAAATTCACTTAAATTCGTTTAATGTGCGTGGCGTAAATCTATTTGAAATTTTTTTTCCCTGCACTAAATTCTTTAAATCCAACTAATAAGTAGATTTAGTAAAATAGGATTTAATAAACGAAACAAGCTAAAATTAGATTTAACTTAAACCACCGACTTTATCTAATTCATTTATGGTGTTTGGCTGGATTTAAATCTAACTTAAATCATATTAAAAATATCATACCAAACAGGACCTAAGATTTCTAACCTATTTAAGATATAGATTTGGTAGCGTTATTTTCGTAGGCTTGAGAAGGGAGAAGAAGAGCTCTTGTTGATGCTCGCGAAGCCTTAGCCGCGCAATGGTGATGAGATATTAAGATTTAGGGTTATGTGGGAGAAATAGAGAGATTTGTAAAGAGTTTAGAATTGGATTAGGACTTGTTGAAGGAGATGAAATATGAAATAAGTATTTTAGGGTTTTGAGTTTTTGAGTGGGTGCTAGAGATGAGTTTAAAGTTTGAGAGAGAGATGAAATACAATAAGCCATAGGTTATTAGTCTAGAAGTAGGAGAGGAAGGGATAAAAATACAAGTAGATAAATGAGGAATTCACCAAAGTTCTTCATAAGCTTTGCTTAAAAATGCAAACTTTGATATTTCATTGTATTCTTCATAAAATAGATTACATGATCTATATAAAAATAAAAGAAAACAAAATAATATGAAATAATATATGGGGTGGCAAACCACCTTGTTTCTTATTTTCGAGTAGAAGAAAAAAATTGGTTGTGTTTGATCATATGTTACTTGATGGGCTGAGCAATCGCTCACAGAGAAAGAAGTGGTCTCGACTCGTGGCGCATTGTTAGAATGCAATCCATGAACGTGCCATCCATGATGATCGAGGTTCTGTCCTTTAGAGCTAGTATTGCTGATGATGATGAGGACCTCGGAGCTGGATGCAATGTGTTGGGGTTGCACAGATCGTCTCCCGAATAACTTTAGCATCAGCGCAGGCAAGTTAATGTCTGAAAACTCGATATTATTCTCTTCCATCTCAACACCATCGAAGTCTTTTAATCTCCAGGGAAATATGCGTACCTAGCACACAATTCTTATGCATTTACATATCTCACACCAAAACCTTCATATTTATATACATAACATTTTCGTGATTTCTGAAAACCCATATTATTCTCTTCCATCTCAACAACAACCATAGTCTTCTAATCTCTAGGGAAATTTACATACCTAGCACACAATTCTTATGTATTTATGTATCTCACACCTAACCTTTCAAATTTACACACATAACAGTTTGGTGCTTTAAATATATGCAAGAAAAAGGTGTGTTTCACTTTAAAAACACGATAATAGTGTTATATTTTATGTGATATTAAAGATCTGAGTGTTATGTGTATAAGTATGAAAGTTTGTGTGTGAGATATGTAAATACATAAGAGTTGTGTGCTATGTATGTAAATGCCCCATAATCTCTATCATAATATCCGTCATTGAATTACTTTACCTTCAAAATGAAAACTTTCATTAACGAAATTCTCAAAACCACTAAAGGTCCTGGTTTTAGAAGTCTTACCAGGATATGTTGGCAACTGAAATTGCACCTTCAGAAAAACTTGCAGCATAGTGCAAACATATAGCACATCATCACTGGATGGATGCCCCCTCTCTGTTATCCATTTCTTCGAGCAGAAGGTGCTTTCGGAATTTGATCTTCCTGTACTCGTGTCCATTAATCAAAATCTTAAATAAATGCAGCTTTACATAAAATATTATCAGGATAGCAGGCTTATAAGGAGTAAAGTGCCAAAATAGTCCCCTGACTATTTAAATGGGTTCATTTTAGTCCATGAATTTATAAAAATGGTAAATTTAGTCCCCATACTATTTTAATGGGGCTAAAATAGTCCTCATTCGGGACTATTTCAAACCTTATTAAAAAAAATGAAGAATAAATTGACACTTTTATAAACTCTAGGGCTAACATGACACTCCCACTCCAACGAAGAGTCGGGGGACCATTTTGAAATTTTTCTCGACTTCTAAGAGGTTTAGACTCCAAAAAAAAAAAAAAAAAAAAAAAAAAAAAAAAAAAAGAACCAAAATGGAAAAACCAGTTAAAAGAGGGACCTGATACATTTGGTTATAAAGCCACGGCATTCTAGTTGGTGTTCCTAATGCCTGCTGTTCATACTGAACCTGAGACAGAAAATCTTGTCAAGCTTGTGTTACAAAATTTACTAGAAAACATCATGGTCTGTATATATGGTACAAACTTCAAAGGAGGGATTCACTTACATACCACTAAATTCTTATGTATTTACATATCTAACACTTAGTCTTCAATTTTAAAATTTCACCTAAACTATACATGAAAAGGTATATTTCAAAAATTAAAAAGTTAAAATAATGATATTTTTGATATGATACGAAAGATTCAGATATTATGAATATAAAAAGCAAAGTTCAAGCGTTAGATATGTAAATACATAGGAATTGGGCCGTATGAAAACACCAAAACTTCAAAATGCAGTCTTTTTATGCACATGCAGACCAAAAAAAAAAAAAACAAACAAGCTTCTTGAATCACAAACCTGAAACAAATTACTAGGCTGCATCCTCGGTTGACTGCCAATTTGCTCTTGATTCACATGCATTCCAAAATGCGCGCTGAACGAAAGCTCGTTCAGGTTAACTTCCTCCTATGAAAAAACTTCGTAAAACACGAGTTTCACAATTTCAAATTTCACGAGCATGGGAAGGCTCAGCAAATAACTTACCATCAAATCCTGATGCAAACTAGCTGAGGCAGGTTGTAGGACAGGGGTGGTCTCACTCTGAGGGAGAGATGACCTTAGAAAATCCTAGTTAAAAAACAACAAAAACTGCTAAAACGAAAAAAAAAAAAAAAAAAAAAAAAAAAACTAACTACAAAAATGGTTAACTTAAGGGATGTTAAGCGGTCTGTTACCTGCTCCTTGTTTGTCCGGACGAGCGACTCCAAATTTAATTTTTCAAACCTTTTCTGCGGCCTACCTCTTCGTTTCGTCTGCAGTGAACTCAGGCTCTTATTACAATCCGAGGTAACGAATCGAGATGCCAAAGGTTCCTGTTGACTCGGCTGAGTTTCGAATCCAAGAAGCCTTGGTTGCCTCTCCCTGCATCCTGAGCCATCTAAGAGAACCTTCTCCAGCTCTCTCATTAGCTTTAAAGCAAGCTGGTACCTCTCTTCAGATAAAAACCCAACTTCAACGAGTTCAAGAAAACGCATCGATAAGTAGTAATGACGATCCCCTAAGTTTTCAGATACTATATCACCATTACTATTAGCCAAAATCTGCAATCTCTTAAAATCTTTTTTCCATCTATTGAGAATATAATGAGATGGGATCTCAAAAACTTGTTGCAACATAAACACTGATAACGAATGTCTACATAAAATTCCATTAAATTGAAAGAAACCACAAATGCATTGAATGGCTAGTTCTTCTGCGTTGAAGAAGACCTCGTGATCCTTGCTCTGTGTCCGCTTTCCATTCTCGATATACGAACATTCTTTGACCTCGAATATATGAACGGACCCATCTATCTTAATTGGTGAGGCGTGACAATACATGGTGGCTTTTAGCTCATCTTGGAATTTTTGAAACATGTTAATGGTGTAGAGCTTGGATAGCTGTTCTTCCATGTAAAATTTCGATGCTATAAGAGGTGTCTTGTGGAATGATTCAGAGTCCGCTTGAGCTTCCTTCTTGCACTTACTTTGAATGATAGTTTCATATTTACTCAAAAAGTGCTTTATAGTAGTCCTTGGATACACGCATCCATCGAAGTAGGTACTTAAACTCTCACCGCGTTGAGTGACAGACATGCCTGCCCAGAACGTATCTTTAAGAAAAAGCGGAACCCATGAATGCCGCTGATTATACAAGTTGATGAGCCATTCTTTGTCTACAAGTCCAAAATTTTCGATCATTTCCTTCCATTCACGTTCGAACTCGTAAGCTCGTAATGAATCGTAGACGAGTTTCTTAATTTCTTTCTTAATAGCTTTGAACTCCTCTTGTCCCCTTAGCTTTTCGTGCACCTTCTTCATTATGTTATGTAAGCAAAGACGATGTCTGCTTCTGCAAAAAACCTCCGCAACCGCATCCTGAATCGGTTTGCACAGGTCTGTGATGATGGCATTTGGGTGGCAATCCATCATGCATGTTAGCCACGTCTTAAAAAACCAAACATACGTTTCAACGGTTTCCTTCGAAAGCAACCCACAACCCAAGAGCACACTTTGTCCGTGATGATTCACACCAACAATAGAAACAAGCGGCATATCATGCTTTTCAGTTAAGCATGTTGTATCAAATGCAACAACATCACCAAAATACCGATTCGCAGCTCTTGACCTTGCATCGGCCCAAAAAAGGTTCCTCATTCGACTGTGCTCGTCCAGATCCACCGAGTAAAAGAACTGTGGATTCTTATTTTGCATCCGAGAGAAAAATTGATGAATGGCTTCATCATCACCTTCCCCAAGCTTCAATCTCCCTATTTCCATCATGTTTATGCAATCCTTATCAACACAATGAGAATTTCTAGGTCCACAATGTCTTACATGATTCGTTGTATGAGCCATCTTTCGGTAACATCTTAAGAATTGTGCAGTGGAAGGGCTGACCGGATGGTTGTGTTCGAGTTTAGCATCGACAACGTGCAACAAACCATCGCCCCACAACTTAACCGCAATCATAGCCTCGCAATTAGTCTTCGCGCTCTGCCTTGCAAGGTAACAAGCATCAGCGCGTCCTCTGCCTCCTCTAGAGCAGCCAAGTATCAACCTCCTACATACTCCGGATTTGGAGAAAGATGACTTCTTAACAGCCACGCCAAACCCTACTCGCAAAGCATACTGTTTATAGTAGTTCGAAGCTTCATCGTACGTTTTAAATACCATTCCTACCGTAGGAACGGGATCATCATTATTTGATCCGATCTTACCCACCACCCTTTCTTCATCATCAACATTATCAGCGGTAGTAACTATCTCGTTCAACTCATCCTTTTTTGAAACATCCTTCAACATCTCCTGAAAAATGAAATGAAAAATATGAAATCAGGGGCATTTACGCAAATTACAGACCAAAAATTTCCTATGAAATTCTTCTGAAAAATTCACATATGGTTATACTGGGGGGTTGTTGACATTGGAAGGAACCATGTCATTCGATTCAACATCCTTCATCTTGTCGATCTCATTGGCACCAAATGGTGCATCCATTAAAGATCCATTAGCTGTCATCAGCTGAGAAAGTGAAAGCAAAGAAAATAAGATCAACAAAACTAATATAGTTACTTCAACTGGAATTATAATTATCCTAGCTTGGAGAAGATAAAAGATACGCTAGTCAGTATTTTGAAAATCATTATTTGATCTAGCACTATTTTTTTGGGGCATTTACATATATACCACCCAATTCCTATATATTTACATATATAACACCTAAACTTCACATAAAAAAATACCACTTCTTTAACATTTTAAAAAGTGAAATCCACCTTTACATGAACAGGGAAGGTGGCATGCATATAAAAATTGAATTTTACGTGTTAGATATATAAATACATAGGAATTGAGTAGTATGTATGCAAATCTTCCTTTTTTTTGGGCATGAATCCCGAGGTGCATACAAATGGCTGAGTTAGAATTTAATTTAGCTCCATTTGACACAAACACTTTGATTGACTTGCGAACATGGTTTGAAGGATCGAATGAAGTCAGTGTAACTGAAATAACAAATTTAGGACCTAAAGGGATTTGATTTGATGTGCCCCAATATTGATTGCAAACAACATAAAAATATCAATTATGATTTATTGAGGTTATTATGCTTTGCTTTGCCATGATTCTCTGGTCTCAAAATATTCGTCTTGAAATGAGAAAAGTTTCCCTATGTTTACAAGCACGATGGTCGTTGAAAATAAAAAAAATTCAAGTGGGTTGGGAGTTTTGACAAATAAATGCATGATCTCCACTAAGTTTGGATTGAAATGAGCTAATAATTCGAATATCCACATTTGAAAATGAAAATTCTAGTCATCTCTTGTATTAGAATTAGCTAATAATCCGAATATCCAATGAACAGTTTATGAATATATCTTCCACTTGACTCATTTGGAGGATTTTTACCTGCAACACAAAATGGAGGCTCTAAAATTTTGAGAAAAATACTCTTTTACCTAAATTTCCTCCCTTCATTACATGAATTGTGCTAGTAAATTTTTTGTCAAACCTAATACTTTGTTTCACCAAACATATTCGACACATGCCTAAATTGTCGGTGGATGTTCAGGCTAAAGCAGAAGTGTAAACAAGTCGAGTCGAGCTTGAGCCACCCTAGACTGGAGATTGAGTTTGATTAATTAATTAAAGTTTTAGCTTGAACTCGAGCATAATTTTATGAGTTTGACGCGTCTCACGAGTCAACTTGTTTATTATGACAATATTAATTAAAGTATAGTATTATGATAAAATAATAAATAGAATGAGTAATTAGGAGATAAATAATAAGAAATTACTTGATATAACATGTAAAATATAGATTTTAAAATAATTTTAATAATTTAGTGATAATATCTTCAATTTTAATATATTTGAGTGTACTTGAGCTTGACTTATTAGCTTATCAAGCTCACCTTGCGAGTCATTTATCTACTGTTATCACTTAAGTGTTTCCTTTACTGAAGACCATTTGGGCTCTCTTATTAACTATCGATCGACCACTATCATTAGCATCTCAAAGGCTCATCAACATAAAACAATATTATTCGTGGATTCCCAAACCAACTGGGCTCTATTTTTAATTACTATCAATCACTTGCATCTTAAGAATGGTAGCACCTAACAACGAAGACATAATGATTCCCTAATTAATGTAAATGTTGTATTGGTGTCCCGCTAACAATTCAAAGAGAATCTTGAACTTGAAAACTATTAATAAGGGAAGTTACTCATCTAGGCTACACCGAGGTTTTTAAAAAAAAAAATTTCACTTTAAAAATTTTAACTTCTAGTTTCATCTGCGCTGAAAATTTTAAAGCAAAGACAAATATAACACCGCCTCAATCTCCTACACCCATTCTTATGTATTTACATATCTACACCTAAACTTTACTTTATACATTCATACCACCCAAATCATTCATATCACATAAAAAATACCACTATATTAACTTTTAAAAAGTGAATTCATCTTTTCATGATTAAGTAATGTGCCATATATGTAAAAAATAAAGTTTAGGTGTTAGATATGTAAATACAAAAGAATTGGGCGGTATGTATGCAAATCATCCCACAAAAAAACAGGGGCAAAGACACATTCAAGGCTGCATAAAGAGCACAAAAGCACGCTAGTATCCTCTCAGCGCCCGCTCAGTGAAGTTTTGTATGAAATATTACACACCTAAAATAGCCCTATGCTTCCATTAATGCTCTCCTTTCAGCAAAAAACATATGTAATGTACAAAGAAAACACAAACCTGCAAAATTTATTCAGTTTTACCGCAAAGTTCCACATACACATCACTTGAAGTTCACTGCCACAAAAAAAAAAAAAAAAATCTAAAACTATGTAACAAATAGCGAAAAAAAAAACCCTAACACCAAGCCAATGAAAGGAAAATCAAGATAAAGAGATAGTAACACATAATAATACAATAATCGCATTTTATTTCGGGAAAATAAAAAATCAAGAGCACAAAATTCTGAAAGAAGAACAGGAAAAAGACCTCACCGGCTTGAGATCAGAACCAAAATGATCATTCCCACAAAATATCCGATACACAAGGAATCGTGATTTTACTCGGCCATATTCGATCGCATCCGGAGCGAAATCGGAGAAGCTAAGATGGAGATTTACTGATTGATTAGGGTTCCAAAGCAGCAACAGCTCAATTCTTTTAGTTTGTTGCTCAGATCCATTTAAGAATCAATCTGAATCAAGTTTGAAGAATCAAGTTTGAAGATCCATTTGTTGCTCAGCTCTCGTGTTGGGCTCGTCGCTCAGCTCGTGTTGGGCTCGTCGAGCCACGAGATAGAGTCATTTTAACAATTCTAATAACATAGTTATAAGGCATAAAATAATAAGAATTTGAACATTATTTAAAAATTATTATTTATATTAAAATATCATTTAAATCTAATTTAATAATTTTTTTTATTTTCTTAATTAATATTTTAATTGATTATAAATCTTTATCCCCGCCACGAATTTTCTAGCGAGCATCATATATATATATATATATATATATATATTGATGAGTAGTATTTCGAGCCAAAACGAACCGAACACGAACGAACACATCTTAGTTCGTGTTCGGCTAGTTAACTTATCAAACAAAATTAACGAACCGAACACGAGCTGTTCACGAACAACGAGTCGATTTGACAGCCCTATTATGTACGGAATAAATTTCTTAAATAAGATAATTAAAATTTCTAAATTAAATATTAAACACATTATATCAACTAATTAACACTCAAAATTAATGCTTTGTTAAAATAATATTATTTGTATATAAATTTAGATAGCTTTTCTGACTATTTTTTTTAGGGGAATTTATTTATATACCACCTAATTTTTATTTATTTATATGTCTAATACATATAGTATAATTTTTTTATATTTATAATATTTATTATATAAAATAATTTCACTATTTTAATTTTTAAAAAGTGAAATATATATATTTTATGTATGAATATCAGGGTTTAGAAAATCAGAAACGTTTGGCATGAGAAACACACACATTGTTACACAAAAACGGGTTGAACCGTCAGTTCAATACCTGGCAAACTGGCTCCTGTTTTAAGGAACCATTAGATTCGAGGGCATTTACATACATATAACCCAATTTTATGTATTTTATAAACATTATTACAAAAAAATTCAATTTACATATAAACTACTCAATTTTATTTATTTACATATCTAACATCTAAACTTTTTTCATTTTACATTTATACCGCCAAAATTATTCATATCACAAAAAAAAACATATCAGCATTTTAATTAAAAAGAAAAAAAAAACTAAAATACATGTTTTCATGCGTAGATAAAATGATATATGTTAAAATTAAATTTTAGGTGGTAGTTATTTAAATACATATGAATTGAGTGAAATGTAAATCTTATGTATTATTATTTTCAAATATATTTATGATTCATGAGACCATCTGATTGAATCTTGAATTTCTCCATGTTCCGGTTCAATGTCCGGTTCAATTTCAAGTCGAATGAACAAATCAAATGTTCGGGCATTTACATACATGACACCCAATTCTATGTATTTACATATTTAAGAAGTAAATTTGGGTGTTAGATATGTAAATACATAGAAGATGTGTGTCTGATTGTTCTTTCTAATTTGTTAATGAAATTTCAATTCCAAAGTAATTTGACAAAATGGACTTGCAGCTAACGTTTGCTCAATTGAATGCATCATCCGTCACTCATTACTCTAATTCACTTTCAAGATTTGGTTACTGAGAGAGCAAAAATTATATACATATATATATATATATATATATATGTATATATATATATATGTATGTATATATCTAAAAGCTCTAATCAATGGATATAAATTCATAATAAAATTATAGTTTCGTGAGTTTTTATTTCATTTTTAATAATTTTAGAAACTAAGATTCTGTTTGACACTAGGGTTGTGAATTTAGCTCGAAGATGGTTAATTGCTTAAAAATTGATTCAAAATTTAGCTCAAATCGAGATCAAATTGAAACAAGCAAATCAAGCTATGAGCTGTAATTTCGGATCGAATTTTTGTGAGTCAATTTCGAGCTATACGCTATAGTATTTTTTATTTATAAAAAGTATATATTTGATGCCAAAGAAAATTGAATATAATGAGTCACGAGCCAATTTCGTACCGGAACAGATCAAAATATTTAGTTTGAGGTAATTAATTCCAATTTTGAGCCAAGTCCAGTCAAAACTGAGTTGAAATATATCCAAATAACTCAATTTGAGCCAGCTTGTATTGATTTCGAGCCGGATCGAGCTCGATTTCTTTTCGAACCGGCTCGGCTCGAAATCGAATATAACAAGCTACGAGGCAATTTAGAGCCGTATTAAATCTCACTCGGCTCCAAATCGGATCAATAACAGCCTTACTTGCCACTATAGGAAGCCAACCACCACCGACAACTGCCACTTTTGCCGACTACCAAGAATAAATAAATAAAACATAATTTATTTTAATGTATCAGATATGTTTATTTCAAATCACAACACACAAAGAAAATAAAATAAAAATAATAAAATTAAAAACAACCCCTTCAAAATCACATGCACTTTCTCTCCTCCACAACAACTGCCAAAAACCTGAAATGTCCTCTGAACACCATACCTGCTGCATATGAAGCCATTACTGAGCTTCAAGAGCTCAGCTTTCAGAACTCCTTGATGAGAACAATTAGTATATCCTCTGTGAGATTAACAGTATGACTGAATAAATATGATATTTTTGCAGCTACAGGCTTTGGAGGACCTCGGAGACCTTCCTGGAAATGCTTTCATGGATCGATTCCTGAAAAATATTTCAAGAAAAATGAGAAGTTTCTCTATGAAATTATCAATTTTCTTAAATATTATCACCATACCTCCATTGATGGGATTTCAAACTTGGAGTTGGTGATTGTCTCGTACAGGAAAATGTATCTGCAATGAATGCCAGATGAAGATCAGTTCCTTAACAAAGGTTTCATACTATTATTTGATACATGCGCTCAGAAAGAAAAAGTTATCATGTTACATGCAGATCACTCGTAGCTGCAACTACATGCAACTACATGTAGATCACTCGAAACTTGTTATTTACAAAACAACCATTCTCTTTTATCCAATTTTCAAATACTCATTCAAATATCAAAATTCATGATGAAACCCCAATCCTGAATAGTTCGATTGCAGCATGGGTGGATGCATCGGTTCGGTAGTTCAAAAAAATCATCTGGGTTTATTTGTAAATATCAATGTTTCGGGTGGTCTGTATGTAATTATCCCAAAAAAAACTAGTATTAGAGAACAATGGTTGTATGGTTTAGTGAAGAAGACTTAATTCATTAGCTGTGAGAATCTATACAATTTTTTTTTAAAAAAAAGCAACAAAATAGAAAGCATGCTTTAAATTTATAGCACAGAATGACAAAATAATATAGGGAGATTTACATGCATACCACACAATTCTTTCGTATTTACATATCTAACACGCAAACTTTATTTTTTACATTTATACCACCAAACTTATGCCTGAAAAGCTGTATTTCACCATTTCAGAGTTAAAATATTAGCATTTTTTATGTGATATCAAAAAATTGGGAAGCATGAATGTAAAAAGTCAAGTTTAGGTGTTGGATATGTAAATTCATAGGAATTGGGTGGTATGCATTTAGATGTCCCCAATGTACCATTTCTAAATCTAAGGACTTATCTACATATTGTATTGACCATTTATTTAGTTCTTTGATAGCTGGATTATGAAACTAGCAATAAGAAATTAGTAGTCATGAAAGTCAAACAAACAATTAAAATTTTATGAGCAAAAAATAAAAAATAAAAAAATAAAAGACAAATCTATATGACACTAATAACACTTCTAACGTAATAAAAACAGAGAAAATTTAATTAAGAAAATTAAAAAGGGAAGAGGGAGCAAGAGAGATCAAAAGTAAGAGGAACTCAAGCAAGAAATAGAAAATAAGGTTGATCCTAATTAAGCCCTTAACGTTCAAGCCAGTATTGGCCATAAAACAAAAACTGCAACTGTTCATGTCTACACTAGATGTATAGCCCAAGCTACGACAACTAATGATGAACCCTAAAGTCCTAACTGACAAGACTGGGATTTGATCTTTGTGAATTACATGAATGAAACAAAATTGTTTAACAATGCTTCGTTCTTAAGTTTGAACAACTAAGAAAATCTAACATTTCATTTGCAAGAGAAACAAGTTTTTATGGCTATAAATTACTAGTTTTTGCAATTAATGTTTTACAAACTAGATCATTTGTCATGTTTAAAACATAACAAGTCGTGTGTGCCCCACACCAAAAGTGTAAGCGGTTCCGAACCAACCTGCCAAGATATAAAGAGCTAGCATGAGTAACCCATCACTTTGAGTGTGATACATTGTAAAGTCCTTAATGCATCAAACATTAGTTGTCATAAAAATCATTAATTATTGGCAATTCAAACATGTGTTTCTTAAAAAAAGTTTAGTTTGATTTTGTAAATAATATTTGTTTAAATATGATTTACTTTAAAGTAATTGTCATACTAGCGTTATTATAATCATGCTTTTGGAGCCTATTGAAGCAATGTGCTGTCCCTACGCATTGCTCTCATATTTATTACAAGTTCATGATAAAATGTATGCATCACGATGCAGTGTTATGTGCTCGGCTCTAAGAACAAATGAAATGTCAATTTATAATGTGGTTTGATTCAACATTTTCCATGATAGTGAGAGTGGGAATGTTTGATTTTGCACATGATATTGTACTCTCAAAATCTTTGTTTGCATGTTTTTTCTTCTCCTATGAAGAAGGTAGTTATTTCACCATGGTTCTCTTTAAGCTATCTCGTAACGTATTTCTTTTATATGCATCTCGCTAGACCTCATGGTTGGTGCTAATAGCTTCTTCTCAAGAATGCTTCAGAGTGTAGTTTCTTCAAATTTTCAAATAACTTATCCTTACTCTATTGCAATAAAGCACCTCTGTTTCTCAAACTTCAATCATTTTTTTCAATCTCACGAACATTTATGCTTTTAAGCAATTTTTACATCACTTCATTCATTATACTTTGATTCTTCCTTTTTTTGGCTTTTGAATCATTGGAAATTATAGTTATTAAATTTACCATCATAATTGCTAAAATTTATTACTTGATATGATTTATGTTTGGTTAAATAACAACTAATGTGTTCACATAATGTATGTACATATAAAAATTGTGTGGTATGCATTTAAATACCCCTATTTTAAAATGTGTAGCCAAGTTTTATTAATTGCTTATATCAAATGGCTTCTTCAAATTGACCAAATGTAAATCAGGCTAACATGCTGGTTGTGCCACAAGATTGTTAGACTCATTATGAACTCGCGTTGACTTAGGGACTATTTGGGATCACTTTTGTTTTTGTTTTTATTTCATTTTGTTTATGTTTTGAATTAAAACAAAATATGTTTGGTATGTTTGATTAAGATATAATTAATTTTTAAAAAAACTTGTATATTTGTTTTTAGAGACAAAAAATAAAAATATGTTAAAAACATACTAACAAACATGTTTTTAAAAACAAAGAAAAAAAACAAAAAAATAAATAAATAAATAAAAATGATCCCAAACAAGCCCTTAAATTTAAAGAGTGAGGCTGCTCAACTTGGATGTTTATTTGAAGACAATAGTCAAAAGTTTGATTTGGCTAAAAATTGACAATTAAATGTTCTAAAATTCTTACTTGAATTCAACGGTTCAAAAGCTCTGAATTGAAAGCAATAGAGACCAACTTCCAAATTCTTACAAATTGAGTAAAGTGTCAAAATAGTTCTTTGATTATTTATATGGAGTCATTTTAGTCTAAAAAATTATAAAAGTGCTAAATTAGTCCTCGGACGACTTTAATGAGGGCTAAAATAGTCTTCATTGGGGACTATTTCAACCAATATTTAAAAAATCCGGGAACTACTCGACACTTTTATAAACTTTGGGACTAAAAAGACTAAAATGACCACTCTACAAAGAGCCAGGGGACCATTTTGACACTTGCCTCCTTATAAATTGCACTTCAAAAGAAACCATGCACAAAGAAACAACAAGATGGAGACATACCGCCATGCAAGTTCACAAATAAGATCTTCTGGTGCATCTGGCAAAACCTGAAAAAAGTTCCTTCAATTTTATATGATAATTTGATTTTATTTTCCTCACAACCGTTCAAACAAACACATATATATATATATATAAAATACCTGATCTTCATACGGATTGCAATGCTCCTTGAACCATAGCCTCAAGAATTCCTGATAATCATTCATTTTATGAAGTACATTTTTATTTGGATATGAATCATCTTGTTAATCAAGTCCAAAAATGTAATCCAAATATCAATAAAGTTAACAGAAACAGAAAATCCCTTCCCGGCAGAACCATGTCTGACTTTATAGTAGAAATCAAACAAAACTAGAAGCATACCTTATCAACATTTTCAGGTTCCAGAGAAGCATTGAAACGCTCCTGATAAGAACTAGCAATCCAGTATCTGCTAGAATCAGGTGTATGCACCTACACGGTTGCAACAAAAATATTAGGGTCATACCACCGAATTCCTATGTATTTACATACCTAACACCCAAACTTTATTTTCACATATATACAACCCGAATCTTTCATATCACATAAAAAATACCACTACTTTAACATTTAAAAAGTAAATACTCCTTTTCATGTATAGGTAAAGTGGCATGTAAGTAAAAATTGAAGTTTAAGTGATAGATGTGATACATAAGAATTGAGTGGTATGTATGCAAAATCTTCCAAAATATTATCATAAACAAAAGTTACATAAGCGTTCTTCATACTTCAGTCTCATAGTTTTCCATGTGTTTGATGAGCAGACATGCATGTTCTAATTAATTATTTGATATGCATTTAGTTGACCGAACTTGATTTATTGTTGGATTATTATAACCTACGGAAATCAAATTTTGCATCATTCTATATATTCCAAAGACTCAGTAAGAGAACATATGAGCCATTATTCAAATCTACTATAAAGTGGTAACAAAGCCTCGATTCAATGCACAAACCCCCTCTCCTCCATACCTCCTTCATCTCTCTTGTTCTCTCCTTCATCTCTCTCTCTTGCAACCACAAACTAGCAGATAGATCCCATCACCTCTCTCCTCCATACCTTCTTGCTAGTCGTAGCAACGATATTCGCATGAGAATTGCAGCGTGCCTTAGCATTTCAATTTATTGAGCTTCAAACGTCTATCTTGGCAACTGTCAAGCGTCTCACGTTTAGAGTCATATAGTTGAACGGTACTTCACCTTTCAATTGGTTTGTTTCAAGCATGCCACTAATTTTCTATGCACCGGCGCCTCACTCTCAGGAGTCTCACCCGCCTACTTCGTGGTAGCCACGTCCAATGATAACTTGATCACTATTATGCTTCTCATATCATCATTGGTTTAAGCGTCTCATCTCACACTTCATAGGATGATCCCAATGTTATGATCATTACACATATCATGGCAGACTCATGTTTTTGCCAAGCTAGTCTACCTCATAGATCACCGGTCCAAGCTCAAACTTCATCTCACTTCTCCATATGAATAGCTCTATGGCTCGCCTTCTAACTATTCTAAAATTTGTTTTTTGGTTGCGTTTACTACCCCTAACATCACCCAAACACCACAAATAAATTTAAATCTAGAACTTAATCCTATTTCTTTCTCAGTTACTCCTTCATCCAAAGTGTCCAATAATGCCTCCACACCACTACATCCAAAGTCTGTCTCCTGCATGTACATTTTGTTGAGTTTATATTTTCTTTTGAATCTTTTTCTTTGTCTCATAGCATCTTTGAAGACATAGTTTCCTAATAGTGTCCTACACCAAATCTAATCCTTCCTCAAATACTTCATGTACACAATCTAGAATAGCACCTTATATAACGTCTTGATCCATACTATCTACATCAAAACCCCATCCACCTCCCTCCATAGCACACCCAAGATCCTCTTGCACAATCACAACACCCACCCAACCGACTCCCACCACAAAAAAACCCCGATGATCACTTGATTCAAGAACACAAATCAACCTAAAAAAACTCACTTCAACAACAAAACTAAATGAATCATTTTACCTTTTAACCCAACACCATAACCCAAAGCCGGCTCAAACATCATAACTATCATCGAGCAATGTCAAATGAATATAATGCTCTTGTTCGATGTGGAACATGGGAGCTTATTCCCCTAACAACTTTTCAAACCTTAGTTGGGTTCAGATATTTGAAGTCTTGGATTAGAGTTCCATCTTAAGGTACAAGAAAATGAATGCATTAATTATAATCATTTAGATGATTCTTTTTAATAAATATTCTATGTAATTAATTTGTAAAAATTTGGTCGTCCTAGCTTTACCACTACTTAGAGTTTCTATATGGGAAATTATTCATTTATCCATGGACCACATAATTAGTAGTTTTTACTAGGATTTAAGATCATTTATCTTTCTAATGCACTGCACAAATGGATATAAGCTCAAAGTTTATGTGTTACATATGTATATAAATGGAATTCAATGACATGTATGAACATGCCCCTTAAAATATTTAAAAAGCACCTAAATAAATCGGCACGGCGCATGTTCAAAACTAATATGAACGAGAGTCAATGACTAGATTTTTCTACACCACCACAGCCTTGAGATAAATATGAAATTTAGAACATGAGAATATATATATTAATGTAAGAACCTATCTAAAAAACTATTTAATATCTGCACTACTAACTGGTCTCCCATACAAATGAACCCACAGTTACCAGAAAAACACAAGCAGATGAGATACAAAATGATTCTCATAGGTGAATTTGTAAGCCAAACCTCATCAATTAACAAAATATTCCCATCAGTGTCCTTCCCAAACTCATACTTCGTATCCACTAACATTAGACCATGATTGAGAGCCACTTGCTGCAATATTAAGAAATAAATTCATAAATAAACATGACAGGTTTTTTATGGCTGGAATATAGAAAATTAACATATATCAACCAAAAAACAAATAACTGAGCCAAATCATTGCAAAACAATTTTCCAACTAAGACCGATGTACAAAAGAACACAAGATGAATCTAACTTAAGCAAATAGAATCTACAAAGCAATAGTAAGAAAATCCTAATTACTCTGCATGTTGATTATCTATGAAAAAAATTGAGAATTACAGCTTTACAGAAATAATAAGAAACAAATCAAAAAAGAAAAAATTCCCACCTGTCCATATGAAAATAAGCTCATAGCTTTGCTGCTAACTTCGAGATAATCGTCCTTTGTCATCAAACCCATTTCTACTATCTAAGTAAAAATAATCATCATGTTAGTATTTTAGCAACAACCACCTTTACAAAAGAAACAAGTTTCAGAAAGCTTGAATCAAGGGATATTGAAAAGAAAGGAAACCATTGGCATAGCAAAATTTATTTTTACAAACATATCCCACATTTTAGCCTTGTCAAATGGTATCTTGAAGCTGTAACACACCAATTGACGCAACTGGGCATCTTGGGAGACTTAAAAGTAAAATACAAGTCTAGAGTTTCACAAATAGAGTCAGCAACTGACAATGCACTTAAAATAAAGGGAATTTTACATAAATGCCCCGCATTCTTATGTATTTACATATCTAACACCTAAAGTTTGATATTTATATTCATAACACTTTGGTGTCATAAATCTATGCATGAAAAGGTGTTTTTCACCTTTAAAAAGGTAGTAATAGTGGTATTTTTTATGTGATGTTAAAGATTGGAGTGGTCTGCATGTAAATATAAAAGTAAGTGTTAGATATATAAATATATAAGAATTGTGTGGCATGTATGTAAATGCCCCTAAAATAACAGGAGACTAAGGATTCATAATGTCAACGCCACATGGTTGGAATAAGCCCAATTGAAGCTGATTATGATCATGATCGTGAATTAAGACAAAAACATATAGATACATAAATATTTTCTTATACCCCAAAACTTAGGGAGTATTTCTACAATCCAGATATATTAACAAACCTTATAAGAAAATTCAGCACCCAAAGACCAATAAAAAGAATGAACTCACTTACAAACACTTGTCATACGCCTAAAATTATGCTTTAGCGCAAAACAGTAACATTATGAAATTACAGAGTTTGGGAAATCAGAAGAAATCCAAGAACTTGTAATGGAAATCTGAAGTTGCAAATCCAAGGGACCCACATGGGCAGTCCTAAATATCTAGATTTTTACAGGTGAAATTTTTGCGTGTGAAATCTGAAGTTCGGTATAAAAATAGTTTAAGTATATAATAATGCATTATTATTGTTGAATCCGAGAATGTTCCTGAATCACACCCAAGAAATAGAGCGTGAGGTGAGAGAAATAGAGATGAACAATAATGAATAGTGTCCCTTCTTTATAAAATATTTTCCCTATTTATCGAGAAGATTGTACAATAGTAATATTATATTTTTACGCCATTTGAAGAGAGTTTGTATTGGGGTGTTTTTAGAATTTTACAAGTGTTTACTTATCATCCGATTGCCTTCTGGCTTGACTAGGGGTGTAAACGAGCCGAACACGAGCGAGCCATGCTCAGCTCGTGTTCGGCTCCGC